TAAAATGCTGGTACAACAGGATATCCACACACAAAAGAATGAATTTGGACTCCTACATCATACTGTGTATAAAAATGAACTCAAATGGTACCCAAATATAACAGCTGAGAGTGTAAAATTCTTAGAAGTTAAACATAGTTGTTAATCTTGGTGACCTTAGATTAGGTAACAGTTTAATATGCCACTAAAAGCACAAGCAACTAAAGAAAAAATAGAGTTCATGAAAAGTTAAAAACTTGTATGTCAGAGGACACTATCAAGAAAATGGAAAGTCAGCCTACAGAATGTGAGCAAGTGTGTAAATCATACACCTATCAGGGCTAGTACTCAGAATATGAGAACTCCTACAACTCAACAATAAACCCTACCTGTATTGAAATGGACAAAGGATTTGAATAAACAGTTCTCCAAAGAAGATACACAAATGGCAGGTATGCACATGTACAGATTCTCCACATGAACAGATGCTCAATATCACTAATCACTGGGGAAATCACAACCACTAGATACAACTTCACCTCCACTAAGATGGCTGTAACAATGCAAATTAAAAAAAGAAGACAGCAGCAGTGCTGGTGAGGATGTGAGGACATTGGAGCCTTCATACATTCCTGTTGGGACTATAAAATGGTGCAGCTGCTATGATGAACAATTTGACATTTTCTCAAGTTAACAAAAACTTGTACAGTGGGGCCTTGACTTATGAGTTTAATTCGTTCGGAGACCAAGCTCATTAAGGAGCTCGTTAACTCAAATTACTCTGTCAACTCAATGCAAAAAATCCGCCCAGAGACAGCTGGTATCTTAAAAAACTCGTTAGTCGGGACACTCGTAAGTCAAGGCCCCACTGTACATGTATGTTCAATGCATTATTACGCATAAAAGCCAGAATATGGAAATAACTTAAATGTCCAATTAATTAATGGATGAACAAATGTGATGTATCCATATAATGGACTACTACTTGGGCATAAAAAGAAATGAAGTACTGATATGTGCCATCCTATGGAACCTTGAAAACATTATACTAAGTGAAAGAAGCCAGACACAAAAGGTCATTTATTGTATGATTCCATTTTTATAAAATGTCCAGAATAGGCAAATCCATAGAGGTAGAAAAGTAAATTAGTGATTACCAAGGGATGAGGAAAGAGGGTTTCTTTGTTTGGAGTGATGGCAATGTTCTGGAATTAGGTAGTGGTCATGGTGAATATACGAATCACTCAATTACCGTATTTGCCGGCGTATAAGACGACTGGGCGTATAAGACGACCCCCTAACATTTCCACTCAAAATACAGAGTTTGTTATATACTCGCCGTATAAGACTACCCCCTCTTCCGCACACCTTCCACACACCAAATAAAAGGTAAAACAATATCAGATTTGATTTTAACATTTTAATTTATATTCAAATGCTTATGACATGCAGGAAAACTGTCACAAGGCTGTATGTAATCAAACATATACATAAAACAGTGCAAGTTTATTACCGGTAAACATACCGGTAATTCACTAAAGAAAACACACTCTATAGACTGGTACCGTAGATGCTTCTCAGGAACACAGGCAAGCAGCCCACAACCTAGAGGGACTGTCAATGATAGAAG